GTTGAACCCAGTACAAAGCCACTACCGTGGATAAAATCTGGGGGTGGGGGAGTACCTGGAGCCAGAAGGGCAGTGACAATACAGAGGTACGCAGAAATGCCCGTGTTTATACGGGGACAGGTGGAGGGCGAGGGATTCAGAGTGCAGGCCGAGAAGGGATGGATAGAGATGCAGGAAGAAATGCAGGGCAGTGGCGTGGGCCGCGGGACGAGGACGGGACAGTGGTGTGGGCCGCGGGACGAGGGGACAGCTTGTATGGGAAGCAGTGAGTCTCAAGGAAGATAGAGACCAAGAGGCGGCCATTAGATTTGGCATATGAGGGCCACTGGTGCCCTCGGTGACAGCAGTTGCATTAGAGTGCTGGCGAAAGAAGCCACACCGCAGTGTGTAGACTTAGGACTCCCAGTCCGTTCTGTGTGCCCCCAAACAGGCCATACTCTCTGGGCAAAGCGGTCTTTTTTTTTGGGGGGGGTGGGTCCACCCCCCAGATTCTGTTATTAACATTTCAGTATACTTGTTTTATCACACATCTGTTCTCCTAATCCATCTGAGTTTTTGGTTGCATTTCAGAGTAAATCGCAGACATCAGGACACTTCCTTGAAGCTCAGTATACAGACCAGTCACGAGATTTCAGTATTTCAGCTTGTTTTTTCTTCTGAAGTAAAATTTACATACGAAGAAATGCACAAATCTTAAGTGTACATTTGATGGGTTGTGACAAATGCGTACACCTGTGTAAGCCAGACCCCTGTCAAGATACAGAACATGGCCATCACTCCAGAAAGTTCCCTTACGCCTCTTCCCAGGCAATTGCCACTGCCACTCCACCTCCAGAAGCAGCCACCGCTCTAATGTTTTCCACCACAGATGAGTCTTACCTATTCCAGGACTTTCTTTAAGTGAAATCACACTGCTTCTGCTCCTATGCCTGGCTGTTTTGGCCCCACACGTTTTTGACATTCGTACATGTATGCATTTTTTTTGCCACAGGGCATTAAGCTAGACACTTGGGTTGTTTCCAGTTTGGGGCTGTTAAGAGTAAAGCAATGTAGCTTTTGTTTTTGTTTTTGTTTTTTTTCATATTTTAAAATGTTTTATTTTTCAAGTACAGTTCACAGACAATATATTAGTTTCCGGTGTAGAGCGTAGCGGTGAGACATTTATATAACTTACGAAGTGATCCCCCCGATGAGTCTAGTCCCCACCCGGCACCACACACATCCCCGTGACTATGGTGTGACTTCATCTCTTCACCCAGTCCCCCGGTTTGTTCTCTGTATCTCTGAGCTTGTTTCTGCTTTCTTCATTTGTTCTTGAAATTTCGTTTTGATGTTTAGATGTCCATCTGACAAATGGGGCAAAGCAGGGAAGAGCTGCTTATTAAATAATCAGTCGTGCTTGCTGTTTGACCGAACCGTGAACCATAGTCTCTAATTTATCCCAAAAGTTGCTGTTTAATGATATTAAGTTCCTACGTAGAAGTGATTATGACAAATTGTTTTCCACGTTGATTAAAATGATCCTCCCTGGAAGCGAGGCCCAGAGGCGGCCCCAGAGGAACCGGGCCGCTGCTTCCATGACCCGGGCTTGGACGGACAGGTTTCCAGCATTCAGGTCACCTGCAGTTTTTACGTCAGCCACACACGTTTTGCTGTTAGTGACTGAGAATCAGAACGCTTGCCAGTTGTGTCTGAAACATGCACATCCACCTTGACAAGGGGGATGCACACGCAGCGACCTGCCAGCGCTATAAAGAGCAGACTTCGTTTGTCCCGGGTTCCGTTATAGGGAAGGAGTCTGTCCTAGGCCCAGCTTCGTGGCCGGGGCGGATAGGGGGCGGGGAAGCGCTGAGACGAGGGTGGACCAGGGAGCGGGATGGCAACTCGGCTGACTGCAGGGCCTCAGCCCAGCCAGAGAGTGGCGGTGTCCGTGGAGTACCGTAAACTCGCTGTGCCTCAGGCAGGGGGCTGACCAATGGCATTCCAGGGGACAGGTAGGGCCCAGCAATGTGAGTCTGAGGCTGGTGCTAAGAAGTCTAGTTGCCCTTTAAAAGGTCGGCGTATGGTTATGGGGACTCTGCCCGGAGCTGGGGTACAGGGCCAGCACTTCGCTGTCTGGGGCAGAGGCCCGGCTGCAGTTAGAAGCCTGGGCTTCACCGGGGTTCGGAGGCCAGCTAGGTCACCAGTTAAGGAGTGTGCAGAGATTGTCTGGGTACCACGGGACACGTGTTCTCCTTCAAGCTCTGGAACATAGACCGAGGCGGACGCCGGTTATCTGGACGGAGGCACCCTGGGCTGACAAGGGCCAGGAGGAAGAGGAGGGCAGGGAACGGCTTCGGGGCCTGGCACTCAGCTGCATGAGCCCAGTGGTCGCCACTGTGGCCTCAGCGGAGTGACAGCGAACAGAACTTAACTCTCGACGCCCAGCGAGCCACAAATGCTCATTGGCCATTTGTATGTCTCCTTTGGAAAAATTTGTATTCGGATCATTTGCTCATTTTTTAATTAGGTTCTCTTAATTATTGAGTTGTAACACTTCTTTATACATTCTAGGTACAAATACTTTATCAGATACATGATTTGCAAATATTTTCTCCCTTGTCTTGGGCTGTCTTTTCACTTACTTCATGGTATCCTTTGAAGCTCGAAAGCTTTTAATTTTGATGAAGTCCGATTTGGATATCTTGTGATTTTGATTTATATATACCTGATGATTAGTGATGTTGAGCATCTTTTAATGTATCTGTTGGCCATTTGTATGTATGCTCTTAAAAATATATCTATTTATTTCTCTGCCCACTTTTTAATTGGATTGCTTGTTTTTCCGCTATTAAGCTGTATGAGTTCTTTATATATTTTGGATATTAACCCTTTATCAGATACATGATTTGCAAATATTTTCTCCCTTGTCTTGGGCTGTCTTTTCACTTACTTCATGGTATCCTTTGAAGCTCGAAAGCTTTTAATTTTGATGAAGTCCGATTTGTTTTTTTCTTTGGTTGCTTGTGTTTTTGGCATCGTAGCTCAGAAAGCATTGCCAAATCCGAGGTTGTGAAGATCTATATCTGTATTTTCTTCTAAGAGTCTTGTAGGTTTAGTTCTTATATTTAGGTCTTTGATTCATTTTGAATTAAGTTTTCTGTGTGATGTGAGGTAGGGGACCAGTTTCATTCTTTTGCAGATTGGTATCCAGTTGAAAAGACTAATTTTTCCTCACTGAATTGTTCTGGCATCCTTTCAGAATCAGTCCACTGTAACTGACTGAAGAATTTTAAGCAGAGGACTCCTTGTTATTTATGTTTTAAGACAATATTGCTGGCAGCTATATAGACAGTGTCTTGGATGGGCCAGGAGTCCATGTAGGGAGACCGGGGAGTAGGAAGTGATAGTTTCACGGGCCAGACGTGATCGTGACTTGGACCACGGTCGTGGTACTGGGGATGGAGAGAAAGACACAGCTTACACTTGGGAAATAAAGTTCATAGGACTTGGGACTGTCTTGCTGGGGTGGTGGGTCAAGAGAGGGAAGAGGTCAAAGATGACTCCCATTTGGGTCGGAGTCCAGGATGATGTTCAGATCCGTACCTTGCATGGCCAAGTGGGTGGTAGCGTCACTTACTGCCATACAAATGGGGAGGCATGTTTTTTAGAGCTTCTAAAATAATGATTTTAACTTGCGGTTAGTTGAATCTGAGGTGCCGGTGAGACTTTCCAGATGTTTAGAAGGCAGTTGGATTATGGGCGTCGACTACAGCTTGGGGAGTCACGAGCACCGGGTGGGGTCGGGAGCTCTGGGACAGCCCGAGGAGAGAGAAGAAGGCCCGGGACGGAACCCTCAGGAGGAATGATAGGAGCCCAAGAAGGACCCAGAAGAAATGGCCAGTGATGGGGGCAGAAACCAGGAGGAAGCTATAGGAATCTGGTGCAATGAGGGGGTGATCCGCACTGTCACATGCATCACAGAGGCATGGAGGAGCAAGGCCTGGGCAGGGCCCTGGATCGTCCCTGTGTCCATGCTCCCGCAGTGTAGGTCGGTTGGTTGATTTTATAAAACATATCAGTCTGTAGTTCTTATGGTTGGCGGTATTTTAAACGCCGCAGAAGCAATAACCTTTGCAGATACATTTCGCACAACTAGTGCGTGAAGGTGTTGCTGGCAGCGTCTGGTGGATATTTGTGTCTTAAGCGATGCCGGCTTTCATTGGCATCTTCTGTGCTAATCTTTCCCATCCTGAACGGAGGATATTAAAAGCCCAACTGCTGTTTGGATTCCAAAATGGACTCTAAAATGTTCTTAGACTGAATGTTCAATCTGTTTCCTTTCTTGCTAATCATATGTATATGTGTGTGTATATGTATATATGATATATATATGTGTGTCTTTTTTAACCTTTTTTCCCCCCGCAGGTACGTGAAAGAGGCCAAAGAAGCAACTAAGAATGGAGATCTGGAAGAAGCATTCAAACTGTTCAATTTGGCAAAGGACATTTTTCCTAATGAAAAGGTGATGAGCAGAATCCAAAAAATACAGGAAGCCTTGGAGGCGTTGGCAGACCCCGGGGATGACGAGTTCACGGACGTGCGCGGTTCCGGCCTGCTGCTGTATCGAGAACTGCACGACCAGCTGTTCGAGCACCAGAAGGAAGGCGTAGCTTTCCTCTACAGCCTCTACAGGGATGGAAGGAAAGGCGGCATCTTGGCCGATGACATGGGATTAGGGAAGACCGTTCAGATCATCGCTTTCCTTTCCGGTATGTTTGACGCTTCACTTGTGAATCACGTGCTGCTGATCATGCCAACCAGTCTCATCAGCACGTGGGTAAAAGAGTTTGACAAGTGGACTCCAGGAATGAGAGTCAAAACCTTCCACGGTCCTAGCAAGGATGAACGTACCCGAAACCTCCGTCGGATTCAGCACAGGAACGGCGTCATTATCACGACCTACCAAATGCTAATCAATAATTGGCAGCAGCTCTCAAGCTTGGATGGCCAAGAGTTTGTGTGGGACTATGTCATCCTTGATGAAGCGCATAAGATCAAAACCTCATCTACTAAGTCGGCGCTGTGTGCCCGGGCCGTGCCTGCCAGCAACCGCATCCTCCTCACGGGGACCCCAATCCAGAACAACTTACAAGAACTGTGGTCCCTGTTTGATTTCGCTTGTCAGGGGTCCCTGCTGGGAACATTGAAAACTTTTAAAATGGAGTATGAAAATCCTATTACTAGAGCACGGGAGAAGGATGCCACCCCAGGGGAAAAAGCCTTGGGATTAAAAATATCAGAAAACTTAATGGCAATCATCAAACCCTATTTTCTCAGGAGGACTAAAGAAGAGGTCCAGAAGAAACAGCCAGGCGACCCAGAGGTCAGACTTAGTGAAAAGAACCCAGGTGTCGATGCCACTAATGAAATGCCTTCGCTTTCCAGGAAAAATGATCTAATCATTTGGATCCGCCTTGTGCCTTTACAAGAAGAAATATACAGGAAATTCGTGTCTCTAGATCACATTAAGGAGTTGCTAATGGAGACACGCTCACCTCTGGCCGAGCTCGGCATCTTAAAGAAGCTGTGTGATCATCCTAGGCTGCTGTCTGCGCGGGCTTGTCACTTGCTGAATCTGGAGGATGTCACATTCCCCGTTGAAGATGAAGGTGAGGACAAAGAGGCTTCAGATGTGGACCATATTAGTCAAGTAACTGATGTTACACTGATGAAGGAATCTGGAAAAATGATATTTCTCATGGACCTGCTCGAGAGACTGCGAGACGAAGGGCATCAGACTCTCGTGTTTTCCCAGTCCAGACAAATTCTAAACATCATCGAACGCCTCTTAAAGAACCGGCACTTTAAGATCCTGCGAATCGATGGAACGATTACTCACCTCGTGGAACGAGAAAAAAGAATTAACTTATTCCAGCAAAATAAAGATTACTCTGTTTTCCTGATTACCACACAAGTAGGTGGCGTTGGCTTAACGTTAACTGCAGCGACGAGAGTGGTCATCTTTGACCCTAGCTGGAATCCTGCGACCGACGCTCAAGCTGTGGATCGAGCTCACCGGATTGGACAGAGAGAAAACGTCGTGGTTTATAGGCTCATCACTTGCGGCACTGTGGAGGAGAAGATATACAGAAGACAGGTTTTCAAGGACTCGTTAATAAGACAAACCACTGGTGACAAGAAGAACCCATTCCGGTACTTCAGCAAACAGGAGTTAAGAGAGCTCTTCGCAATCGAGGATTTCCAGAAGTCGGCCACCCAGCTGCAGCTGCAGTCACTGCACGCGGCGCAGCGGAGGTCCGATCGCAGGCTGGACGAGCATATCGCCTACCTGCACACCCTGGGCATAGCCGGCGTCTCGGACCACGACCTGATGTACACCCAGGACCTGCCTGCCAAAGAAGAGCTGGACGTCATCGAAGAATCTCAGTATATCCAACAGAGGGTCCAGAAAGCTCAATTCCTTGTTGAATGTGAGTCTCAGAACACAGAGCTCTTGCTGGAAAGAGAGCGAGCCGCCCACCAGGGCCTATGGCGCAGAGAAGCAGAGTTTCCTTCTCAGACCAAGGCGAAACGCCCGGAATCCAAGAAACCGCAGGCCGAGCCTTCAGCCCTTCCGAGCGCCCGGCTCACGTGGGAAGAAGAAATCAGCTCCCAAATGGCCGGTGTCGCCCTTGGCGATCTGCCCGAAACGGGTGACAAGGCGGGTCTGCCCAGTATAGAGATGAGCGTCGTCGTCCCGCAAGACGCAAGGCTCCCACGAGGCACCGAGCTCGGGGCCGACTTCGCAGAGGCTCCGCCCGCGGGCTCAGACGGTGTGGAGGAAATCTCGACTGACTTCTCACTGGGAGTGGCCGAGCCGCCGTGGGGACAGGCCCCGCCAGAGAGCCCCACGCGGAGCTCTCGTTTGTCACTTAGCACGTCTGCCACAGCCGATCTCGCGCCAAATGTAGATGAAGTGCAGGACGTCGCGGTCTCACAGCGCTGGGATCCCTGGGCCGCCGCCCCCACGACACAAGAGCAGCAGAGCACGTGCTCCGATGCCTCTGGCATTGACACAGCCGCCACCAGTGACTTGTCGGCGCCCCGCGGTGCGCCAGCCGATGTGGCCGCGGCCGGAGGGGGTTCCGCAGCATCCTCACCACAGTACGCGTGTGACTTCAACCTTTTCTTGGAAGACTCTGCGGACAGTGGGCGGGATCCGTCCAGTCGGTCTTTGGAGCTTGTTGAGAAAGCAGGCGGCTCGGCAGCCCGTGTGGGAGCAGAGTTTGTGCGCAGCCACGCTGGGCTGAGCGCGGGGCTGTCCGGGGACGACCAGGACCCCGAAGAAGTGGTGACCGTGAAAGGCGGGCGGAAAACCAGAAGGATCGTCTCCGACGATGAAGACGACGGTGACAGCTTTCGAAGTGCTTCGGGCACAGATTCACTCAGCACGTCTCCCTTTCGCTTACCTGTAAAGTTCTTTGATGCTTCAACCCCCAAAAGTGACGTCAGTCCACCTGGAAGGTTCTTTTCCCCTCTGCTGACTGATAGCATAAATAAGTCTGCGAAGTCTCGAAGGTCCCTGGCTTCCCGGAGGTCTGTCATTAACTTGGTGTTGGACCACGTGGAGGACATGGAGGACGGGCTGGAGACCAGCGCCGAGGCCCAGGGAGCTGCGCCGGGTCCGCGGGCGGGAGCGGAGGGAAGCAGTGGCGAAGCCTCGGACTCTGCAGGAGAGGAACCTTCCAGAGAAACCCTGTCTCCGGAAAACAAGTCCAGCTGGCCAACTGCGCCTCAGCCTGCTGCCCTGGTTGTGGAGGCCTCCCCTGGGGGCTCGGGGAGCCCCGAGCCCCCCACTGCCGCACAAGCGGTCGGCGGTCCTCAGGGTGAGGCGGCGCGGGCTGCCCGCGACTACGAGAGCCTCGTAGCGCGTGGAAAAGCGTTGAGAGAGGCGGGGAGGCTGCAGGAGGCCTTGAGCTGCTTCGTGGAGGCGCTCGACATCCGAAGCGCAGACCCCGAAGTCATGCTCATGACCTTAAGTCTGTATAAGCAACTTAACTCAACTTGAGAATGTCGCCCGTTGGCTGCAGTTCCGGTGGGACTGAGTACGAGGTCATCTGCTCTTATCGGATGCTCTGCACGCGTGAAGCATTCGGGCTTAAGGCCAGAGCGCACTCAGAAGGCAACTTTCTCTTTGGAGCTTTTCTGGAAATTCTGCCTTCATCCCGTGCTCCTGCCCCCCACCGCACCCCGATACATGGATTCTGGTATCCTGAGCGCTAGGTGAATATTACTTGACTCAAATATTCTTACATTTTTCTTATAGGCATGCTCCGTCAGCTTAATACTACTGTGTTATTTCTAGAGAACTTTTCATAAAACGTTTCTGGCCATTGCTAATTTTATTTTGAGAAAGCGCTTTTGTCTATTGCAGTTCAGATGAGATTATTAAAGTTACTTTTCTCAAGTGCTTTCCTTTCAGTTTCTTTCACTGACCTGACACTGCCAAATGCCTGCGACACTCCTCGCTTTCGGGAGCGGGTCATTGGCATCCAGGTCCCAGGCCTGCACGTGACCATGGTTCTCTGCTCGCTGCCAGCCGACGGCCCAGAAGGCTGGGCGCTGTGCCATCCATCACCGGTGCCTTGCCCGGGTGTCGCTTGGCCACCACTCAGCTGTCCTTCCCTCAGCACCAGCTGTCATCTGAGGCACGCTAGCACGCTGTATCTTCGGGCCGTAGACGGAAAAGGTGGCCAGGGCCCTGCCTAAGGTCACATCGTAAGGGGCAAAATGCATTTTTAACCATGTGTTACCAGCTTTCGGGGTTTTGTGGACGGGTCATTACTGAGCCGTGGTTATTTAAATGGCCGACCACGGGGGATGAATCCAGTCTCGGCTCCTCTCCCACGACTGAGGCCAGGGGCTGTGGCCAGGAGTTCCAACCCTCATTATATCTGTCTTTTTGGTGACCAGCCCCCATCCTGAAACTGTCTAGGTCTCCCCTACCCTCACCAGTCACTGTTACCGTGGGGAAGATGCTCTTGGTCACTGGAGAGTCCAAAGGTTCCAGGAACCAGGGACAAAGCCCAGCTCGTTCTGCTTATATCACACACACATATAAAAGTTACTTGTAAGTTCTATGTATATACTGTTTACAAATTTCAATTTGAAGACCTAATCAGCTTTATGAAGTGACTTGTGAATCGAGCAACGTCCCACCCAGCAGGTACGACAGCTCTGTGATGGGCTAGACAAAACGGCAGCTTTTTACAGGAAGAACGGTGGGCGGGGGAGTTTTTACCAAAAGGGAAGAGAGGGTTCTTTTCTACCAGGCCGCCATCTTTGCGGGGGGAAGGGGAAGGCAAGGGTTTTATTTTGCACATTGTCTCTCTTTCCTGTGGGGGATGGAGGAGGCCCAGGTGACAGATGCCCTCATGGGTGCTGTCCAGGAAATTCCAGACTGCTTGGTTAAGAGTACATTTCTGGTGAAGGTCAAGACTTCAGTGAGGTATCAGGTCTGGGTTTGCTATCGTGGGCTTTAGCACAAGTGATGCCTCTTTGGGCCTGTGGTTTTCTCTAACAAGTCACACTACTGAGGCAGGAACCGGGCGAATTCCCCCGAGGGGGCAGACCAGGCCCTGCGCTGAGAGAAGGGTTCTTGGCGGCGAGTGTGGAAAGAATTCCACGCACACGCCAAAGTCAGGGTCGAAAGGAAAGTTTGTTAGAAAAGGGGTGACAGTCCACATGGCACGTGGTGTCCTCTCAGAGGCAGGGAGTGACAGAGCCTGAGGGAGACGGACAGAGAGAAAGAGCTACCCCTAGTGTTCGCGGAAGTCAGCGAATGTCATTCTTCGGTTCTTGTGAGTTACAGTTTAAAGACTGTTTACTGTGTCCTTTGCTCTGGGTGCAGTGAGGACGGCCTGCTGGCGGTTTCCAGTAGGTTCCCCGGGGGTCTCAGCCACAGGGCATCGATGGATTTATTTTGTGTAGGGTGCCACTTAAAGACTTTCCTGTTTTCCCGTCAGCAGTTTGGGAGTTGGGCCTTTAGTAACCCCAGCAGGGATGCTCCTTTGTCCTGCAGGTGGCCCAGTGGCCTGGCCGCAGGGTGATCAGCATGTTGTAGTGTCTGAATGTGGCTGATTTACCACTTAAGTTCTGTCGCCTCTCCCCTGCCTTGCTACCGTTCTCATATACTATGAGTATTGCAAAATGAAGTTTGAAAGAGATGAGCTGAAGCTTAATGATAGCTTACTCATCGATAGTACGAAATTTTGCTCTTACCAAAAACTTATTACTAATATTTTAAGGAGGGTGATGTGACTGAATATATATATCATTAAAAAAGTCTTGGAGGTAACACTGATTCAACAGTTCGCATTCTGCATCCCGGCCCAGCTGACCGCTCCTCGAGGGGACTGAGTGGCTGTGCCACGCACCTTTGAGTTTCGTTCCCTCCCATCACACATACTGTTTGTGGAAATTCAGCTAATAAATTCCTCTCTCCCCTGATGTTAACCACAAAGGTGCAGCTCCATGTCATTAATTTGCCTGCTGCAGGCGTTCCGGGCCCGCATTCATTTGCTGGGAACAGTGATGCTTAAGTCCCCGGAGCGCAGGCCTGCGCCGTTTCACTGCATTCCAGACCGCACCTATGACGTGGCCCCGCAGGATTATAAAGGAGCCGAAAAATTCCTCACACACACGATGACCGCATCTCTGATCGCATCACTCCTTTGTGTTGATTGAATCTCGTGTTGTTTCGTAAACCGCTTGGAGCCCGAGCGTCCGGGGTCGTCGGGTCTCCGGCCTGCGCAGT